CAAGAGATGAATGAGATGGTAAATCTAAGCACATTGCTAACCCCTTTTTCTGAATTTCATTCAATTTGTCCATATGACATGAATTGCTGGATTGCCAAATGCAGCTAGCATAATTAATAATTGAACATTGAAAAAGTGTCATGGTTGGTATTAAAGCTATTCCTTTGATTTCTCTTATAATTCCTTAAGATCTTTTGGCTTTCTTTATTGTTGATTCAATATGGCTGTTGAAATTTAATTGTTCATCCAATTTTAATCCAAGTATAACTGGATTAGGGTTGTATTTTAATACTGTGTTACCAAGCTTTAATTTGATATTTTGAACTCTATTTTTTTCTTTGCTGAATATACTGTACTCTGTTTTTTGAATGTTTAGTTTCATTCTCCAATCATTGCTCCATTTTAGTACCTGATAAAGGTCTTTTTGTAATTTGTGTTCTATAACTTTTGGATCTGAATGTGTATGACAAATAGTTGCATCATCTGCAAACTTGCAGCAATCTGCTGAAACGGATTTAAAAATATCTTTTATGAAGATGTTAAACAGTATTGAAGAGATAACTGATCCTTGAGGTAAACCAATACTAGTTTGAAACCAAGGACTTTTGTAGCTGTTGACCATGCATATTTCTTCTCGATGACTGAGGAAGGCATTTGTCCACAACCACATTTTTCCCTTGATGCCATTGTTGTACAACTTTACCATTGGCCCTCTCTCCAAACACTGTCATAAGCTTTTTCAAAATCAATAAAAATTACAATAGTAGTTTGGGCTTTGTTAAATCCATTAAAAATAGCTTAGTGTTAGAGATAATAAGGCATTTGTTGTATCTCTAAAATGTCGAAAACCTTCTTGTACTTGGTCCAAGATGTTATTCATTTCTACAAATCCTTCTAATCTGTACCCTTTTTTAGCCCAATGTATGAATACACCCGTATTATTACAGCCTTTTGTCATCATAGGCTATTTCCTAGTATCGATAAACCAGAAAATCATAAACGGCATTTTCTTAAATTTAAATATATAAATAGAGGTATTGATTTTATTAACTTATCTAGTATATTCAATGACTCTACCATTCAAAGCCAAATACCTCCATATTTTGATAATATAGAACCACCTATTATTTCTTATTCTTATAAAAAAAAACAGCAGAAGTTTGATTTTTAACTAATCGTCAGTTACATCAGACGTCAATATAGAAAATAATGTTCCTTCCACTTGAGACTGTGAAACATCTAGTTTTAGATATGTTCCCTATGGTCATGTCCTTACAGGAGACCTCAACATCGTCGAAGACCGTCAGGTTATAACTTTTCTTAAGAAAGGACCGAAATATCGTCATCCATCTAAAATAGATTGGAACATGGCGTCAGGTCATTAAAGACGCTCTGCCTGTCTACTGTAAAAATTGTTGTAAACGTGAAAAATCTGATTAAAAGTCTTTAGACAGTTATTTGAATAATTATATTCGTATATCTCATTTTGAAAACAATTCTGAAATTAGTAATAGGGTCCATGATATTCCCATTTCTAGAATAAAAAATAAACTCCAAGTACTCGCAAAGCGGTTTGTGTTCGTACCGGCAGACAAAGCAGTAAATAATGTAGTGGTGGTGTGACGCATATACTACACGGAAAACTAAATTACAAATTCATCTACATTCAGGTCCGTACGCTCCACAGAGAGTCAAATTGTAAACTAGCATATCACTGCCACTACCTAGCTTAAAGCCTCTTCCGAACATTTGAAAGTCCCTACTATGTACTGGGTACCTTAATTGCACAAAAAACCATTTAAATTCCGTTTTATTTCCGCATCTAGTAAGTGTTCTACTACCAATCTATCAGTGCTTCTAACTACCTCCCTTACTACTATCAAAGAACTTGTTATTCACTTTTGTAACAAAGCTTATGAAAATAATGGTATTAATTATTTTTGGAGTGTTAAAAATTCTTTAGAGGTTTTAGATAAAATACATGCTTTTGATGGTCCTTTTAATTCTGTTGACAGTTATGATTTTTTTACTCTCTATACTATACTTCCACACAATCTTATCAAGAAAAAGTTATCATATTTAATTAAATGGTCTTTTGAAAAATCTCGTTACAAATTTATTTGTTGTAACTCGTTTAAAGCCTTTTTCTGTAAGGAAAAAGGAAAGTATGCTAGATACACTTACTGGAAATGTGGAGATATGATTGAAGCTTTAAATTTTCTCCTGGACAACATATATAGACGTTTCGGCGATAAAGAGTATAGATAAGTAGTAGGTATTCCTATGGGCACTAACTGCGCCCGTTTAATAGCAGATTTATTCCTGTATTGCTATGAATCTCAGTTCATGACCAAACTCAGTAAAGACACGTCATTGTTACATTTGGTTGATACATCCAACAATACCTTCCGTTATCTAGATGATATTTTTTCGTTAAATAATCCAGAGTTCTTTAAATATACTACCGAAATTTACTCAAAAGAACTAACTTTAACTAAATCTAACATAAACAGCAGTAGTTGTCCTTTTCTAGATTTGGACATTTCAATCTCTAAAGGAAAACTCCATACGAAAATTTACGACAAAAGAGACGACTTTTCATTCCCTATTGTTAATTTTCCTTTTTAGACGGCGATGTTCCTTTGGCTCCATCATACGGTGTTTATATATCCCAACTCGTTCGTTATGCCCGTGTGTGAAGTGATGTCATAGATTTTAACGAACGTAATCAATGCATCACTGGTAAATTATTAAGTCAGGGACTTCGTTACCATAAATTACGTAAAACTTTTACTAAATTCTTTCATAGATACAAAGATTTGATAGGAAAATTTGGCTGTACCTGTTGAAAACTGATTAAAAACGGTATTTCACATCCTAAATTTTACGGTAATATTGTACTTAAAGCGCGGAAATCACTATGTGATCCGTGTATACTCATCGAACCTTTAAAAAACTTATAAGTAAAGGTTATCTTACCAATGTTGTAATTAGATCTTTTAATATAGTTTACATTGGCACTAATATCGATTTTGTCATCAGCAAATTGAAACATAACTAAATTTGTATTCTTTTCAAACGGGATGTATAAAGACACACCCACGTTCATTTTGATCTATAAAGAGGTTAACTCCTAACTAGCCTACTGCCTGTCGATACATTTATTTTTGGCATTGCACAAGTCATGTCTTCTTTGACTGTCCATGACGTTAAAATACTAAATCCCTGGGATGTGTTTTAGTTTATTTTAGTCTCTGATGCACGATTTTTTATTATTAATTGTTTTTGGCTTTTAACTAGCTGTCAGTAACTGCGAGTACTCTCAAATCGTACTTTCTTGTTTATTTGACCTGTTGATACTAATTGTAATGCTTTTTTTTATTTAATGTTATTCATGGTTATATCTGGTCTATATACCAGCTTTGATAAGTGTTTGGTATTACTATAAAATTTTCACTTCTTTATAATTATTATTATTTATTTTGTAAAAATATTTCCTTTCTCTTTTTGAACTGTACACGTATACCTAACAACAAAATTATTTTTATTTACCTTTGTTCAAAGTAATTGCAAATGGCTGATATTTTTGTTCAAGTATATTGTTTTTCTTAAGTTTTTTAACATTTCACAGCGGTATACCATGTTACTTTAATTATTCTTCCCTTAGTTTATTAATTTTGTATTTGCATTGTATCATAGATCAAATTTATTTGTTCAGTGTATGTTCGATGGTGTCTATATGTCTTTTGATTGAGTTAAGCCATTTCAATTGATATTTTATAGTGTGTTTTTCAATGTTGTGATGTTACACTATTGTTTCAGATAAGGGTGAAGGTTTGGTACCATTCAAACGTTTAAACCCGCTGCAATTGTTTGCACCTGTCCTAAGTCAGGAATCTGATGTTCAGTAGTTGTCGTTTGTTGATGTGGTTCATAAGTGTTTCTCGTTTCTCGTATTTTATATAGATCAGACCGTTGGTTTTCCCGTTTGAATGGTTTTCCACTAGTATTTTTTGGGGCCCGTTATAGCTTGCTGTTCAGTGTGAGCCAAGGCTCCGTGTTAAAGACCGTACTTTGACCTACAATGGTTTACTTTTATAAATTGTTACTTGGATGGAGAGTTGTCTCATTGGCACTCATACCACATCTTCTTATATCTAGTTATAATTCTTTCCAGTAAGTTTGCTACTACACTGGTTAAACTGATAGGTCTGTATGACGATGGTAAATTGTAATTTGGTTTATTTAATTTTTTTTATAAATTTGACATTTGCTCTTCTCCAATTTAAAGTTATAATTCCTTCTTCCCATGACTGATTAATGATTTCTAAAAGTTTGGATTTTAATTGTGTTCCACCATTGATGAAAAGTTCTGTAAAGATGATGATCCGACAAAAATGTCTAGCGGCTCTCATACGGTAGCGGAACCTTTTTGGTCACTATTTATTAGGGATGTCAAAAGATCTGAAATATAATACTCGGGTACTCGGTCATGATACTCGCGAGTACTCGAGTACTCGAGTACTCGGATAAATCTGTAACTTCCAGTGAAAAGTATTGATAATTTTTGGGATGTGGTATTTTGGTTATTACCTTTCAAAAACTTAATTATGATATGATGACATCGCTAGACATCTTAACGAAAGACCAACGTATTGTTGCAGAACTCAAACTGTGTGGTTACAAAAAATAACTCGATCCTTAGTTATGTGTATCGCTAGTCCTTTTTTTTTGTGCCAATAGAACAATGAATAATGCACCACCGTTTCTAAAAAGTAACCTATCATAATAGCAATTATTGTTTGTGTGTTCGCGAACCAAATCAGAAACATGCCAATGAAACCATCAATATGTTCATCAAGTCCGACTTGATAGAAAATCTGTATAAGCTGTTCCTGTGGAGTTTTCATATTACGACTTGTCTCATAATTTGTCAACAAAATATTGGACTTCAAATTACTTTTTTGAAACGATATTTAATTATAAATCAAACAATGATAAAATTTCAAATATGCATTTATTACATTAAATGTAGATCTCATACCAATCACGTTAACAAAGATGTCTTGATTAACAAACAAAGACAAGTAGTAATTAGATAAATAGTACTAAGTTTACAACTATTATTAATTCATGCAAGTGTTAATCCGTGTAGAAAGACCGTTACAAATGTCTCTAATCAGTTAAGTAAGGTTCACCGCAGGGCACTTTGATTTTGTTTTTGTACCCACAACTACAGATGAAAGATGTTTCTAAATTTTGTTACAACAAGTCCTGCACATGAAAAAAAAATCCTCTCGAAAGGAACGGGCTATGCTGGTACTGCTGAAACACGTTTAATTTTGCGATTATAGATAAAACTGAGATAAAGCTATAACACATAGGAGTAAGGATAAACGAATTTACGTTGTGAATAGATATTATTTTTATTAGTATTACGAAGGATATTCAAAAGGGAACTAAAGTCAGGGGAAATATATAAGCAAGATTTATAAAAGGCAAACGAGTATCCGAGTACTAAAATTGCACTCGAGTACTTGACCTTCCGAGCGAGTACTCGAGTACTTGTTGCCAAACCTACTATTTATGTGTTGCGTTTAAATATGAATTGTAACACTTTATAGTGACTGAACAGGTTATAAAATACTTTTCAAGAAGCAAAAAAAGAAGACATCTTGGAACAGCACCAGACTATGAAGGAATAAAAACTCAGATCGGCATAGCATAGACGATATGCTAGTTATACGACGTCCTTGTGAATATTAAGGTAAGCTACCAATAATACTGCAGAAAACGCAAATTTGTCGGGTTTTTCGTACATTTTCTGTTCAAATTTTCACACAATCGTTCGAAAAGGCTAAAATAACTTTTTCTGAAAGTTTCAAACAATGACAAGTGTTTTATTCACCAAAAAACTCGTGCGTTTCTGCGAAAAAAAATCACGCGCGATTTTGTGAATGAAAGGGAATTTGCGAACTGACCCAATAATTTTTTTATCACGACCTCTCCACTGATACTGACATTATCAGCGAGTACACATCATAGGGAAAATGCACAAATTACCGATAAATAGACTAAACTTTTCCCGTTTTAACAAAATATCATTATAGAAACTAAACTTATTTAGTAAGCGTTTCGTCTACATAAGACTCATCATTGAAGCTCGAATCAAAACAGTTGAAAGGTTAAATCAAATACTAAATGCAACATTTTATAAACACTAAATTCACAGAAAATGAAAATATTAATGATATATTACGTCAACAAAAAAGCACTGACTACTGTGATACTACTGGGACCGAAACAATCGCCAGCAGTGGCATCGTACCTGTAGTTGTCAAAAACGCAGGAAAAAATACCAGGCTTATAACTTGTTACACCGGACGGTCCTTTCGTCTACATAGACTCCTCGATGACGCTCAAATCAAACCGGTTGGAAGGTCAAATCAAAATCAAATTTGAAAAGCATTAAATATATGTACCCTAAATTTCATAAAAATTGATCCAGATACGAAATATATTCCGAACAGTACATTTACAGAAAAGGAACATATCAATGATATTTTATGTGAATATAAAAGTATTGATTACTAGACTGGTGATACGTCCACCAGCAGTGGCAATGACCCAGTGGTTGAAAAGCTCATCTAAAACACCAGTTATATATTTTGTTTCTTCTACAAAAGACTCATCGTTGACGCTCGAATCACAATAGTTGGATCTTAATTTAGCAAGCAAATTTGATTTTTATTGAACGTATCTGTTTACATAAAACAAAACAAAAAACACACAGTAATTGATTCCCTAACAATTACTGGAATTAATGTATATACAAACTCAGTGTACGCTATTTAAGTTATGTTTATTTATGCTTCAATTGATAAACAACTTCTTTTATCATTCAGTCTAAAAACTGTTTAATCATTTTAAACTAATAGATATAAAAACGAAACAGATTTATGCATTGCAAACAAACCGTACATAATAGTATCACAACCTTGAACTGTACCAATCTACTCTGGACATATTATAATTACTATTTGTGTTGACCACACTTTCTTTAATCACCCAATAACTTGAATGTCAACACTTTTGCACTTGGAATTTGTCGGTAGAAGAAAGAATGTAGGCATTCAAGGAATAAAACGCAACGTTGTTCTTAGGACTGAAAATGTGTAAGGTATATTAAATGTTTTTATTTCGAGCTAGGACTATTTCATGAGACAACTATCTATCTGAGTCAACTCATTTAAAGTAAAGAAAGGTACCCCGAACGCGTAATTATGCGTTTCTCTTTGTAAATAGACTTTTGGACAGGTGGGTAAAAAATGTAACAATAATGTAATTATAATTTTGAGACGAACAAAAGTCAAATTGAAATTTAATTTTGAACACAAAAGAGCTAAATTAATGATCTCCCTTCCAATTAAACACATCGATGCGAAACGCCTAATGAATCTATAAACTGTGTGGAGAGAGGATAACTAACAATCCTGTTATGTCACAGATGAATTTCACAAAAAAATTGTTCTGGAAAATAGTCATAATGAAAGCAAATTACAATGCAACAGTCTTATCATAACAGTGTCATGGACTTTATAGTCAATATAGACATATACCTTTATAAAATAAGTATGTTGCTATGCTATGAATGACTTCATACTTTAAAAGACCAACCTTTTATAATCTCTCTTACATTTTATATGTCACAGAAGAACGAAAGTATAGACCAGATTTTTTAAAGGAAAATATTACAATGAAAATCATATGATACGAAGCAGAGAATCAACTATTTCGTAATTAAACTACTATGGCAAATTGAATGAAACACCATACGCAAACATGATAAAAGTTTAGGCTTATATACCAAAAGAATTATTAATCAAACACTGAATGTCGCACTGAGATTGTAGCTGAGAACCACGTTCTCGGTCGAAAAAGTATCGATAATCTATAAGTCTTAAGATATGTAAAAAAGGTTCTGTTACTACGACAGTTGCAGGAGAAGAAAATATCAACCAGAAAAAGAGCAAGACGAACTCAAAGTAAAACTATATATATATATCCCTTTCTTCCAAGGGACACATAAATTATTAACGACTTTCCCTAATTTTTCAATTCAATTTACTCTTAATTATACGACCACCTTGCAGGTCTCGAAGTACCTGGCCCGGTTTGCGTAGTTCAGGAGTACGCGTTCAAACCCCTATTCTAATTCAAAAAGAAGGCTTTAACATTAGTGCCTGCTGCTTACCACACGGCAAACAACATGATGAAGGTTAAGCAAAATTAAGTGGTTCGTAGTCAGAATAATATGTCCGAATTTAAATTCTACGAATGTATCAGTCTATCCAAAGCTACTTCGCGGCAATTTATATTTACGATCTTTTCACTTTTTTGATATATTCATACATAGGAAAAATCAGAGTTTCACATATTCGCAACGATTACAATTCGCGTTATCTTTCTTCTCGCGAAAGTCGCGACAACTAGTTGGTTTACAGTATGTTGAGTTTTGTACATTTTGGACAACATTTCATTTGGAATTTTAAATCCGATAATTGATCAAGATGGTTCGATTTATAAAATATGTAGCCAAAATGATGTATTGAATATAAGTGTAATATTCCGTTAAGCTTTATTCTGTAGCAAACTTTATCATAGAGACATGATATCTTGGCCGCAGTTGAGCAAGGATTCAAGTTTCCTTCAATACACACATTTTCATGTATGAAAATAAAACAACTAATTGGTACAACTAGTGTTTTTTATGGTTATATTTATGTACTCCAGACGCCTTCTTGCCTCTCAAATTTCATTTTATTACTGTATCAATGCTCAAGACTGCAATTGCTGGTTTAATCCACAATTTGATACATAAGAAAATGTCTGTACCAAGTCAGGAATATGACATTTGTTTTCCATTCGTTTGATATGTTTGAGCTTTTAATTTTGACATTCGCTTAGGGACTTTCCGTTTAGAATTTTCCTCGGAGTTCGGTATTTTTGTTATTTTACTGTTTGGTTCTTTCCAATCTAAATCGCTAATGATGCAATTAAGGCCATTCTTACATGATTGATAGAATGATTTTTGTTTGCTCAAGGTAAATATTCAGTTTCTGACTCTTCTCTATATTTTGCCCAAAATACAAAAAATGGTGAAAGTCGAAAACGGAATGTAGAAACAATAGATAGAGCTGTCGAAGAATTCTTATAAAAATAAACAGCCTGAAAAAATTACTTAGTGGCATTCTCTATTGTTATCCTGGCCACCTCTTCTGTAGAAACATTGTGAAGGTTAGCACCGGGCTAGAAAAGAACGCCATAAGAATTATTAGTAAAAGCATATCAGGATTTACGGTAATAAAAACATATAAATATAACATTAATATAATACTTATAATAGAAGATGCAAACAATTCTCTCACAAGCAAAAATGCTTAATATAAGGACAACACAGGTCCAGGGACACATTCTACTGCATCCACAATTGGTTCTCAGGGGAAAAAGATGTGGAAGTTAATTTTTTTTATTCATATGGAAAAGTATTACCACCTGCACACATGATTTCTGCGTTATATTTAGAATGTTATTTTGATTTCCTCCGCTTAAAATAACATACTACTCCTATAGTTAGTGCTCCTATAATCAATAAAATAGGTACTACGATGCCAGCTATTTCTCCTTTTTTCAAACCTGTAAAATATTTAATATAATACAAAGTCATTAGCTTGTGGCAATATGAGGTTACTAGAGCTTTGTAATTATTGCATTAAGGGAATGCAATACACGAAAAATTTGCTCTTAATTTTTTCTTTTAAATTTCAACACGAAATATTTTTTGATATGCACTCAAACCCAAATATCATACCTCAAGCTAAATACTGACCAAAAACTCACGGACAAATAAATTCGACAAAGCACTACAAAATTACGCAATGAACTAATAATGTAAATAAGACAATTTATTGCTGTAGTTCAGTAATTTTGAACTTTACTAGAGAACTATGTAAACAGTACTGAAAACCGTATCAAATCGTATTGATTTTGACGATAAAACTATCATATATATATTGATCCATATGACTTTATGAAATATGAAATTCTATCGGAAAAATGTAAAGTAGACTTAACATGCTTGTAAATATTGTTTCATATTTCAAGAGTCCGCGAAGAAAGGCGGTTAAGCTGTTAATGAAATACTAAAATATATGTAACTCTCAGTTCGACGTCCTGTCTCTAATCGACGTCCTTCTGTTTAATCGACGTCCAAATCTGACGTCACAATAACATAAGATTCCAAATCGACGGCCAATTTTATACCTCTCTAATCGACGTCCAACTTTTAGCTTCTCTAATCGATGTCCAACTTTTAGCTTCTCTAATGGACGTCCGTTTTATGGACTTGCCGCAATGACGTCATAACTTTATCAAATGACGTCATAGATGTCTTTGAGACAACAATTGAACAAGACACAGTACCTAATGAAGGATATGTTTTGGAGAAAAAAAGAAAAAAAGGAATAAGCAAAAATAGATCCAAACGCCGAGCCATTTTTGGCCGACATGCCGTAGTATATGGAAATATCCAAAGCAAAGGAACAATACTGCAAATGAGGACCTAAAAAGATTATAACAGAACTAAAACATGGATTGTCCGAGAGTGTTTTGAAGACAATTCTTGGTTAATATTTTTACGACCAAAATGTAAATTCAATGTTTAGAAAATCTGTTGATTTAAATGTACACCATTGGAGATGCGTAAGTAAAATTGAGTTCGTGGATATGATCAAAGAAAATCACAAAAAATACCACAGAAAAGCAGATACTATATATACGAAGCAATACATAGCCAGAAATTAGTAGTACTTTTGCTAATTAATATTCATAATATGTAAATGAGAATTGTACCACGTGATAATAGTTTGAACTGGACTGGCTTGATATCATTAAAATCTTTAAAACACGGATATTATAAGTTACCCGTCACAGAGTCCTTGTTTATAATCACTCTGATATTTCCGTAAAGTTGTCAGGCGGTCAAAATCAAAACAATGAACGCGAATTTAGTGAATTTTTCGTGTTTTCGTGAGTTTATTCTTCTTGAAATAGGGTCATTTTAACTTTACGTGGACACCTAGAGTTCAACGACTACACATTCAAGGTTTGGACTTGCTTATTCTTTGGACATTCAAGTTTCAAGTTCCATCCCCGCAACCTGTTTTTGTAATGACCTTGTAAGCCAATTTTCAACACGAAGTTTGCAAATTTGACGTTTCAGCCATTTTAGCCTGTATTTTATACTGCAATGTTAAAATCCTCTCGCTTCGATTTTTAAAATAGCTCAGAAACCTTGATTTTTGCAACGACAGTCATTATGTTTCGTTTAAATGGTGTATATTATTGTGTATATTTATTTTCTGTCCCCGCAACCTGTCTATCACTTAAATTAAAGTTAAAACAGACATTCAATATAATTTCCGTGACCCGTATCCGATTTCTTTAGTATAATATTCAAATAAGCAAAGTGGCGTTGATTTCTGGATATGAATGACCACAGTGTTTACCGATGTCAGAGAAACAGTTAAAAAAATATTCAAAACAGAATTTAATGTCAACAATATGCAAGTGCTATTGAATTGCCAAAAACTACAACAACACGAAGACCAATTCCAGCAACATATCCAAACAGTTCGAACTGCTTGGAGTTCAGTATTTTTGTGATTTTACTTTTTGCTAGCAAGTAGATTTGAAAAAATGTCAGTAGTAAGAGGATTTTCATATGTATGCAATATAATTGATTGTTACTCAAGATTTTCTTTTAGGGGAGCAACAAAACCCAAGACTGCTAAAGAAATAGCAGATTTAATTTTAAATTTTAAAGTTCCCCTTCCTGTTACATAAGGAATTTTATATCTGTTTGTTTTGTTGTCAATATAATGGAATTTGATGCGACTGTCATATAAGTGAGAGGTTTAGCTAGCTTTAAAACCATGTTTAATCCACCATTTTCTACATAAGAAAATGCATGTACCAAGTTAGGAATATATGTTCTCCCATTTATTTGTATTGTGGTCCTGTCATGTGATGTTGTCGTTTTGGTGTTGTGTTTGACGTTGCCATAAAAGCGGGAGGTTTAGCATGCCACAAAACCAGGTTCAACCCACCATTTTTTTCTTAAAATGTCCTGTACCAAGTCAGGAAAATGGCCATTGTTATATTATAGTTCGTTTCTGTGTGTGTTACATTTAAATGTTGTGTTTTTGTTGTGTCGTTGTTCTCCTCTTATATTTGATGCGTTTCCCTCAGTTTTAGTTTGTAACCCGGATTTGTTTTTATCTCTATCGATTTATGAGTTTCGAACAGCGGTATACAACTGTTGCCTTTATATATGACAGTTGTTATCATTCGTTTGATGTGTTTGAGCTTTTGATTTTGCCATTTGATTAGGGATTTTCTGTTTTGAATTTTCCTCGGAGTTCAGTTTTTTGTGATTTTACTTTTTATAGTCTGCTAATGGAAAAGAATTTTCAAACTCCAACCTAGCAGATGTTATGGATCCCAAAAGCAAGGTCCGGGTAGGAAGGTTTAACAGGACGTTAAGGTGGTACCTAACACTACAGGGAGAAAACTCTGTAAAAATCAGCTAAACGTTTTATCACGTTGTATTATTAAGGAAATATTAAGCTTCTCAATGATCAAAATTAGTGTTTGTCAAACTGCTATATAACAAATGAAATTTTTCTGATAAAGTGGTTGTTACAAATTTTTTGAAATTTTATATCATTGTCATAGGGTCAAAGTAAACATTTTGTCAAAATTTTATGAAAATTAAACGAGCCAAATTAATATTAGTCAAGGTGTTGGGTACCACCTTAACCTATTTTTTTAGAATCCAACTAAATGTCTGAACACAAAGACTGGCCGTCTGAACTTTAAGACTGCAATAACAGAGTCCATAAAGCCACAAAGCCAGCAATGCCTTACAAGTTATTTTCAAACGACCAATTTTGACCCTACATTAGATGAATAGTTGAGTTTCGTTTATAGCTAATTTTTAATTTATAAGATTTACAACTATGCCGAAATACAATGTAACGCTATTTAAAAAAAACCGGAATATTGAATCCCATATTTGCACAATTATTGTGAATGTTGAATTTTATTTATTTACTTTAAATTAACTTTCAATTTACTTATTTCAAATGAGACTATTATTTAGACAAGCACAACTCATTTTTTGCATTTCAAAAATATTTAAAACAGTTTATTACAGAAATTTGTCATGTTTATACAGTGACATACATGTACCAAACAAAATAATTGTAATCCAAGATTTCACGAATGTTTTAACGTTTTTTGTGACAGACGCCCTTTTAAAAACAACTTTAAAGGCGAGTTCATGAAAATAATACAAAATTTTGCTCTTTTGTAAGACAAAATATTAAGAGAATCAGCATAACAAACTTAAAGTAAAAACAAAATGAATACTCCATAAGACAATAATTTCATTAAAGATATAATAAAAATATTGATAAATAAATTGTTTAAAATGTAAAAAGTCCGTATAATTTCATTCTTTCAATAGTGTCACATTTTAACTGAGTGCCAATGAAAACGCAACACTTGTAAATTTCAAATATTTAGAAAAATATAAATATTTTTTTTAAAAATAATTACCTTTATCGGTTTGAAAATGAATTGTCAGACTTCTTTCGACAACTTTACGCTTGAATGATTTTAGAAAAAAAGTTACGTGCTTGGTTACAGAAAAGGGAAGAGAGTCGAGTGCACCGCTATTTTACGCACAAGTGATTTTCTCATGTTTGTTTTGGAAAGCCTTGCTTAAGAATTGAAATTTCCCATCCTTTTTTTTGTAAGCCACTGCAATAAACTAAGGCGTAGATGCCAAGACTTTCGGACTACCAGAGACATGAAGTTTGGGGCATGGTGCAAGGAGGCATTTCAGTTCGTGAAATTGCACGCAGAATGCAGTGTTCGGCCTCAACAATTACCAGACTCAATGAGTCAACCAAACTGGGTCTCTGAATGATAGGCCACGTCCCGGAAGACAAAGAGCAACTACTGCCCAGCAAGACTGATACATTCGTCTTCAGAACCTGAGAGATCGTTTCCGTACGGCTGTCCAATCAGCACGAGAGACTGTCGGCGTCCATAGGGGACAAATTGGAGCAAACACGGTAAGACGCCGTTTGCGCAGCAGTGGATTAAGGGCACGACGGCCTTTCCCTGGTAACATGCTGACAGCAGTACGACGCCAAAATCGCCTTAGATGGACACAACAGCGTCATAGATGGTCACACAGGTAATGGACAACTGTCTTATGGACGGACGAATCAAGATTCCATTTTCGCCGTAGTGATGGACGAACTCGTTTGTGGAGACGAAGAGTAGAACGCTATGCAGATTCGTGTATCCAAGAGACAGATCGTTGGGGTGGTGGTAGTGTCATGGTATGGGGAGGAATATCGTTCAACCATTAAACTCCACTCATCACTATCAATTGCAATTTAAACGCCCAACGCTACATTGGTGAAGTTTTATGGCTGACCGTTATACCGTTTATGGCTAGGCATCAAGATGTTAATCTTTTTCAACAAGATAACACTCGTGCACACTCCGCACGACTCACAACTGCGTTCATCAATAACAACCATGTTCAGACATTACCATGG